TTACTTATACAGGCTAACTCAAAAAAATCAATGAATGATCAACAGCATGGTAATTTTTTTATCAAAATGTATTTGCTCATCCCCCTAAAAAATGTATATCGTCATCTCAAAATATTGTTGAATAAATTCTGTCTTACATGTGCAAAATATGATAAGTCTATACTTGTGATTTATCATTGCATGAATATTTTTTAGATTTGCTTATAAGGGGTGTCTCAAGAAAATTAATGACTGAGTCAATTTTCTTATTGATTAAATCGAGAATTGTAAAACTGAATACTGAACTGAATGAGACGTTTTAAATTTATTGTAAGTGTTGATACATTGTTAATCAAAATATATCTGTTTATTTCTCTCAAAAAATTGATGATATCATCTCAAAATTTTGTCGAATAAATTCTACCTAAAATGTGCAAAATATGATGAGTTTTTACTTGTGATTTATCATTGTATTCATATATTTTAATTTTACTTAAAGAGGTGGGTCAAAAGAATTAATGAATGAGTCAACTTATTTTATTGATTGAATCAGGAACGGCTCACTCCATTTTCTCAGAAAATTTTGGGAATTCAATACTGTTTTTTTTTAGTATTACATTGCACCGACCCAAATTGATATATGTCTCGTTGTTTTTTCTTGCACTGGTAAATACGCTGTGACTACTTTTTTTTGTGCTGTGACTAGTATTATCCATGTTGATGATTTCATTACAAATTTTTATTGTTCAAATTAAGAACCAGTCATCCCATTTTCTGGAAAATTTGAAAAACACGTCTTTATAATAATAATAATGTTAAAATAAGAATTATATTATACAATCAGAGCATTTTGTTCGATTGTGTTTTAAATAATAATTTTAGCCTTTGTTTTAAGAAGATAAACTCATTCAAATCAAACTAATTTCTATGTGACATTCTTTCGATGTATAAGCATATTATAAACACTTGAGCATCAGATTGATATTACCTAGTGTTGGAGGACAAGTGTTGTTAGAAATGGATTATTTTAAGTTCAATATGGTGAGTCATCAGAATCTAACAACAGACTGTCAGTCAGTAGCGTAACATGCACAATTCAGAAAAGGGGTGATTTTTAAATTTATGTTTTTAAATCGCAAACAATAATACCTGGTAACATAAATTTAAGTGAACTGCTTAACACGCTAGCACGAGTGCGGATGAATCGATTAGGCACTAATCTAAACAGGTAAAAACTCATCCCAGGTAGAAAACTTCACAATGACAGAGAAACGATGACGGACGCATCTCCTGGATATGTTTCATTCTACTTCAGGAGCCAGGAAAGTTCTGTCGAAAACACTTTGACCATTTTTTTTTTTAATTTTAAATGTCTTTCCTTTTAAGTCATGCTTAAAATTAAAACAATAGTGAATTAAAAAACTATATCTATAGAGGCATGCTATTTTACACAACCCTGTTTCTCATATTATTTTTCGCATTTTAATTAGGATTTGCTTATCAAATTTTTATGCCAGCATTCGACAATTGTCAACAATAGTCTCTTACGGAATTTTACTTTTTAATACTAATAATAACAATATTCGTGCAAATTCCCTCTTAACTTATGGTGCCAAAATATACTACATTTACGATAAGTGGGTACGAAGCACCTAAGGTGTTGTAATATGTTTGTTTGAAAGAACACAAAAAAGTGGCAACAACGCAAGGTGCCACAAAAGCATTGATTGTCTCAATTTACATACAGATGGGTGCCTTATTACTGTTGATTTTGATTGTGCTTCATTTACATTATTTATCAAATCAGTATATACACCGGGCGTCACAATTACATTCATCCTACAGGGTGCCACTTAATACAAAACTTATGTATATATATATATATATACAGGATCATCATAAATGATTGTAGTCAACTTGGCTTTGAAAACAAATGAATTTTTTGCTGTTGCCGCTTCATAATACGGTTCGAAGTAATTCGAACTATTAATTAAATGTCATGTTCTGTTTGAGGTTATTTTCAAAAATAAATAAAACATTTTTTAAGTGTTTAGGCATAACTGCACCTCTTTCACTTAACACTTAGAAGTGTTACGTAAATTCATTTGTGTCCGTGCCCGGGTGCCTCGTGTGTTCGTGCAGTTTATCAAAAAAATATGGAACAACAAAATGCCGAATAACCAGTTGTACACCGGAGGAGGTTTTAATTATGGATTAAGATTATGAATATGAATCCAAAGCTACCATAGAAAATAAAAAGGACGATGTCATTTACTGGTGCGACAAAAATTCTAAAAAAAAGTGGTACGAGAACTAGAAAAATGAAGACCGGAAAACAGCCGCAGACGAAGAGGCCGAAAGAAGAAAGATTGGCAAAGGACCACGTCCAGTATTTGAAACAATGGATCCTTGTTTTGGTTAAGTTACGGACATCACAAATCAAAACACTTGTGGAGACTGGAGACGTACATTTCACATAGTGGGGACGAAAATGAAAACATTAAACCAACAAATAGCCAAGATGGTGCGCAGGAAATCCTGTCTGTTTAGGTACAAGATGACATCACAGTCTTGGTTCCAATGTTCAACAGAAAAGCATAGTTGAACAGGGTGGTAGTCAGTGTTCTGTGGTCATGACTTACCAACAACCTCAAAAGAAGTACGTATACATTTCATTGTTATCTATAGAAAATTTACTGTTTATTTTGAGGACCACTGGCGTGTTACATTCCAAATAATTTTAAAAAGCTGATGGATCAGTAACTTCACACTTCACACTAAAAATTGGTTTAGTGGAAAGTGGAAGAAGAGCAAAGATTATGGAGACTGTTCATGAGAACATAATTTCACAGCAGTGGCAGGGTTATGAAGTGGTAAAATTAAAAAACCAATATTTCGGGCAGGAGTTGTTAACAACAAAAGAAGGAACGAGAAATTGAAGAATTGAATTTTGGGAAAAGGGTTTTAAAACCAGACATTGAATTAAATGTACTTACTTCAAATTAAAACATTAAAGAGTCCATATTCAATTAAATGATGCTCATTTTTAATGTAATGTTAACAATAACATGAGATATTGTTAGTTTATAAATAAATTTTAATGTTTTTCACTATAAATGAAATCAACAAAAAAAAATAATTTATTATCAATAAATTTTTACTGTCAAATATTACAATCTGTTTTAAAATGTGTAAAACAACAGCGACAATCACAACTGTTGACACAGGAAACTGTCATTTCAGAATCCCAAATGTGCACCCAATTCTATTGCGGCTTCCAATGTGTCACTGATAATAGAGCTGTTGTGCTGGAGTAACGGGATATATCAGCAGTGTCAACAAGTATTTTTTTAAGGGATAACTTGTTACTTAGAAATATAATAAAATTCTCTTAAAATATTCTATCCAAGAGCACACAACTTTGCAGTTGTGTATTTTCAAACAGATCTTAAACTGAACAATGATTAAAAATAGTACCATCATTTGTAGCTACTGATCATTGTGCCACAATATTTGAAATTTAATCATTTCATCACATATGGTTTGTACATTAATCAAGAGATAATCTTCCTGATTTCTAAAAATTTCTGGATCTTCTCCACTTATAACTTTTACTATTTCATTTTTTGTGTTCTACATATGTTAACAAAAATTCATATACCTGGTAATTTAATTTTTATATGTGCATATGCAGTCCGAGGCGCCAATGAAATCTGGAAAACGAGCTAGATGAATAACAATTTTTCACATTTGCTTGCTCGTCTACAATTTGAGGCATCACAATTTTTTTTTGGTACAGTATAATCACTGCTCTGGGTACTCAAGGAATTCTTCTTTTCAAAAACAAAAGGATTTTCAGCACTCCAAACTCTATAATTTTGTAAATTAACGTAGCCATTTAGAAGAAACCATGCTTCATTGGAAAAAAATGACAAATCCAAAATTCTGTTGTTGTTCATGTTGTTTTGAAACCATTCACAATATGCAACACGACAAGGATAATCAGCTGGTTTAAGTTCATGGACTGACGATACTTTATAGGGATGCACATGTAATGTTCTTTTTAAAACTTTCTGACAAGTGGTGTATGGGACACCAGATTGCAAAGACAGTTTATTTAAAGATTTTTTGGGCTTTGCTCCATTTGTTCCCTCAAATCTTCGACGACCTCTTCACTAATTGGAGGCCTTCCTGCTGACTTGCCTTTAGAAACATTTCCAGTGCTGTTGAATCGGTAAACGATTCTTCTTATGTGTGTCATTAAAGACTGTTCTTCAATGTTTAATTCTGGAAATTTTGCCAAATACTCATCCTTGCAAGCTTGAACAGAATACACCCATTACCCGTCCGCATTTAACGTTCCATTTCGATAGTAAGACAACAATAAACGTATTTTGTTCAAGAGTGTACCCCATCTTAACCTAAAACAGATTTATTTGAAATATGAATACAGATTAATTCATTTCTAGTTACCTTAATCGCTGTTTTCAATCGTTGTAGTTTTGATAAAAACTGGTTTAATTCAATTTAATTTATAACAAAGAAGACTGGAACAACAACAGAAGTAAACAAGACGTGCGCGGGAAAGTATTATGACATATGACCAGTATGACATTCTTCTGACAGCAAAGCAAAACAAAAATTCCCCATAACTTTAGTGGACTATAATTAATAATTTTTTGAAAGTAAGAAGCGGCACATCAAAACAATTGCGTCAGCGCCTACTTCGACTACAATCATTTATGATAATCCTGTATATATATGTATGTCTAACAAACAGTTTGACCTCAAGTATTATGTGCACTCTTACGTGAAGCCAAACTGTATGCACCGGAAATTCGCTACGATCGTGTTTTACTGGGTGCCTAACTTATGGGGAAATGGGATTGAATTCATTTATGTATGCACTTCGTGGTACAGCATTCTAATATAGCACTTTAAGAAAATTTAGTTTCAAATTAAATACATTATTTCCACTTTATTTCTAATAAAATATAAAACAGAATTTGAATTGGGTTATTATCTTTATTTATAATTATTTATTACGGGTACATATAAGCAAACACAATGATTACATTTTTGATCTTTCATGTTGCAGAAAACTTTTTATAGAAGCTGTGGAGCGCCTTCTGAGGATGGGATGTTTTTTAATTAATTCGCTTATTTCAAATCCTGATGGATACAATTTTTCCGCAATGTAGGTGCCAAAAGCTTTACGAACAAGCTGCTTTTCTGGTGTACTGTAGAATTTTTTCCTCAGATTTGAAATGTTTTAATAAATAAAATCATTATACCTACATTTCAAGTATGTAATTGGTTTTAATATAGTGTTCCACCCACTGCCTTACTTGCTGCGCCGTTCGGGTTTGCAGAGTTTTTGAGTGAGCAATAGCTTCTGAACATTCTGCCAGACTAGGTACTGTTAATTTTTCTATGCAGTTTTTAAACAGAACTTTTGCTGTCGACTTTTTTGGTGTCAACCACACACGGCGTTTTGTAGTCACTAGAAATTAAAGTTTCTGATTTTTAGGATGTAAGTATTACTGTATACTTACTTGGAGCAAGGGTTTTTTGAATGTGGGAAACATTTCCGGGGTCCCACTCATCACTACTTCCACCGCTGTATGGTTCGGATGATGGAGCTAAAATGTTAAGATTCAAAAAATAGGCAGCTTATTAGTCTTATTAGCCTAAACTAGCGGAACTATGATTTAACAAATTTTTTTTCTTAAAAAATTACGTGAATAATTATTGCAATCTGTTAGGAATACAGAAACTAAAATTTTAAAAGTTAATTTCTACAAGTGAATCGGATTAATTAAGGAATATATGTTGTCAATGTCCTTTTACGGAATAACTAAAATCCTGGTAAAATCAATTGTTTAATATTTTCTGAACCATCATAATGTTTTTAAAAGGTTTAAATACATATATTCGTATGAAACGTTAAATTATAAAGTTTATAATGTTATAAAAATTGTTACATAACGCTTTCTGGTGCCAATATTCGTTAAGTGTCTGCAGAAAAGACTTTTCAATTTAGGATGAAACTAATACTTACAATAATTAAATTTTCTAACAACTTTTATTTTATTTTTTGGAGTCGTAAAAACTGGTTCCTGACTGGTACTTGGCGGAGGAGTTAAATTCCCAACTAAAAATATATATGATTTAAAATTTGTCAATCATCGCAATCATTCATGTCATGGGGCGAATGGCTACTTTAATGTGTTCTCAACGTTTCAACAGCATCAACATGAGCGTCCCAGGATAACTTTGAATCCACTATTACTCCAAGGAATTTTATATTTTCAAGATTCTCTGAAGTTATTGTTTTTGTTGAGAAGATCATTGAGGCCGTTTTGTCTTTGTTTAAGAAGAGACCGTTTTTCAGAAACCAATCCGCCACCTTTGTTTGTGCTGAGTTAAGCCTGTCTACTAGTTTATTTGGTTCGTCATCTTTTAATAGCAGAGTTGTATCATCCGCGTATAGGATCATTTTAACATCTACATCTGCCGGTAAATTATTTACGTATATTAGGAAAAGTAAGGGTCCCAAAATGGAGCCTTGAGGCACGCCGTACGCGATCTTGCAAGGAGTAGATGTGGCGGAATTATATACTGTGACTTGATAACGATCTAATAGATAACTTTCTAGTAGTGTGAGAGATTGATCCGTAATTCCAATTTCTATTAATTTGCTGAGCAGTAAATTATGGTCCACATAATCGAATGCCCTAGACAAATCGCAAAACGCGACCCCAATATACATTTTTTCTTCAAATCCTTCAGATATATACGTTATCAATTCCTGAATCGCCAAAGTTGTCGATCTCTTAGCCCTAAACCCAAATTGTGAAGAACATAACAAATCCTTGCTATAGGCAAATTACGTTAGTTGTTTTCTAAAATTTTTGATAATGTTGGGATTATTGAAATTGGGCGGTAATTACTGTAGCTGTCCCCACTGTTTTTTTTATGAACTGGGAGTACTTTGGAATATTTTAGACATTGTGGAAAAAATGCATGCTTTATACTCAGATTTATTAAGTTTATTATATAGTTAAGCATGATAATGTTAAGTTCATCCAAGTCCCTACTATTTTTGTTTTTACTTCCCGAGCGTAAGCAAAGGAAGTATTGTAATCGAGTCCGTCGGCCGACTCTCTACTTTTACGTTTTCTCGATCTTTCATGACTCCTAGAATACGAAGAAATAGGTCTCCCATTTCCGTCTGTCTGTCCGTCTGTCCGTCCGTCTGTCCGTCTGTCCGTCTGCCGTCCCGGATTTTTATTAGACAGATAATCTCCTAAAGTACTGGACCGATTGTTGTGAAATTTTGTACTTATATTAGGAATATCATGTAGATGGTAAAACGCTAACCAAAATTTGTCTAATCATCCCCACCACTAATGCGATGACGTCACTTCAAAATTGTACATGGTAAATGGGTCTTAAATTGTATAAAATAACATAGTCCTACACATGTAGTTTACGACTCCGAATTCAGTTTTTACCCGAAACGTCTGTTCGGGTTTCGGTTTTACCTACCAACCGCGGCCCTTGTCAGCAAGCGTCCCCAACTTTCTCTTTTGCCTGCAATGTATCGCTTCCGATTTTAACAACTTTGTACATAGACTCCGAACTGTCAACAACAAGTAAATACAGTGTTACACAGCACATGTTTGTGTATCATTTATATCAATCTTTTTCGGTACGTATGTATGAGTAACAATCATACATCCAACATTGGTCCTTCGAGCCGGATCTCTCCACATGTGTGATCCAGTGCTGTGAATTCAACAATAAAACGCGGTGGTGCCATTTTTCGACGCCTGTATCGGGAGACGTGATCTACCGGCCATCGGAGTTCCCTACCGGACAGGAGAGCAGCGAATCCAGCCCATCCAGTCGTTTCATCCAAGGTTCCAAGTGACTAAGGTCACGTTTTTGGTAATTTTCGACGCCTGTATCGGGAGACGTGGCCTACCGGCCATCGGAGTTCCCTACCGAGCAGGAGAGCAGCGAATTCAGCCCATCCAGTCAATTCACCCAGGCTCCAGGTGATCTTATTACGGTTTTGGCAATTTTCGACGCCTGCATCGGGAGACGGGATCCAGCCATTGGAAATTCCCAACCGGACAGGAGAGCAGCGAATCAGTCTAGCCGTCCCAGGTGCCATAGGGCCTTATTGCGGTGAGTGGGTTCCAACTATTCCTTTTCTTTATCTATTTCCGGTCAAGCACGCATTCGACCGTAATTGTACGTCATTTTATTTAAATTTCATTGGCAAGTACCATTTACCTTGCCCGAACTGTACCAGTTTTACGTATTTCAACTAAGCGGTTTTTCAAATGGTTATGACGCGTTCGCAAACTTTCGATGCTCCACACATGGCAGGCGCGGAAGGTGACGACAATGCCGAAACATTTTCCGACTCAAATCCTACACCAGAGGATGCAGGAAATTTACAAATTTTATTCTTAAAAAGAAATCGCATTCACGACGAAATATCGCGTTTCAAGTTGTGGTTTGAAACAAACAATCTAAGTACATCCGCTTCTCGACTAAGAGTAAGATTGCGCGATTTTGTACGTATTAAGGCTCAGTTTGACAAAATCCATTCTCAGATTGAAGCTCTTGATGACGCCACCCCCGATTTAGAACAAGCTACCACAAGACTTTATTTTGAAAACGCGTATTACGATTTATGTGCAGATGTCGAAGATGCTATTGAACAAAAACGCGTTAAAACATCTTCATCTGCACCGCAAGGTAACGCACCTACGAGCACACCGTCACCATCGGTGCAGTCGCTCCCGATTGTTATTAAACCGTTTAGCGGAATTTATACTGAATGGCTACCTTTTTATAATACACTTAAAACACAAAAGGTGTCTACATTTACAGCGGCAGTAAATCGCAATAGTACACAATCCACTTGTTATTTTTGTAAAAAATCTCATTTAATTTACAACTGTGTTACCTTTTTAAAACTCAGTGTTTCGGAAAGAAGGTCTCAGGTAGATAGGTTGAAATTATGTCAAAATTGTCTCAAACCATCGCATACGTCCGATAGCTGTAAATCTATGTCATGTAAATTATGCCAATTGAAACATAATACACTTTTACATAGTGACCAACCCTCCCATTCAAACGAAAACCAGCCTAGTACCAGTGGAGTTTATTGCTCATCCGCCCTTTTTCCACAAGCCGTTTTGTCTACAGCAATAATTCTAATAAAGGATTGTAAAAACAAATTTCAAAAATTCCGGGCTTTGTTAGACGTGGGTTCAGAATCGCATTTTATTACTGAAGCCGCCACTAACAAATTGGGTTTAAGTACACAAAATGCAAATGTGGTCGTAGCAGGTATTCAATGTTCAAATACGACCGCTAGACAAAAGGTTCAGGTACAGATCGAGTCGTTACATTACTCATTTACAACAGCTTTAAATTGTCTGGTCATTCCCAAAATTTCTAAGAATATACCTGTCCGTACCTTTTCTAAAGATGAGCTGGACATACCTGAAGCGGTAAAACTTGCCGATCTTAATTTCAATTTGTCACAGCCAGTCGATCTGTTAATCGGAGCTGGATTATTTTGGCAACTGTTATGTGTAGGTCAAATTCAAAATCTACATTGCGGGGTCGATGATGTCAATTTAGAAAACCAAGTTGAAAAGTTCTGGAAACTTGAAAGTTATTCAAACGATGATAAGCCGCTCACAGCTCTTGAAATACAACATGAGAACTATTTTATTAACAATGCCACTCGATTGTCCAACGGACGATTTCAAGTCAGATTAACCTTTAGCAAGAGTTTCCCAATTTTGAGGAATTCGAAAGAAATCGCGCTTCAACGATTGTACTCATCGGAACTTAAGTTCGCAAAAAATATTATGTTAGAAATCAACTATCATAATTTTATAAAAGAAGACATTAATTTAGATCATATGCTTTTACTAGGTTCATTTACAGAGCAAAAAATCGAAAGTAAACCCCATCATTTTTTGCCTCATCATGCGGTTTCCAAAACTGACGGGGTCACTGAAAAGATTTGCGTAGTGTTTGATGGGTCAGTCAAACCATCAGTCGGAAAAAGCATAAATGCTTGTCTGAGTACAGGGCCAAAAATACAAAACGACATTTCCGATGCAATAATTCGATCTAGGACGCATGAGGTTGCTTTTACAGCGGACATTTGTAATATGTATCATCAAATTTTATTTCAACCCGAAGACAGACGATACGAAAAAACTTTGTGGTGGGATGATCCCGTGCTTTACCAAGCACGTGTCACTTTAGCCAAACGGGCTTCAAATACAAATTTGCTGAATGATTTGACAACTAACCACATCAATTTTCATTTCATTCCGCCTTCCGCGCCACATATGGGGACTATCGGGGAAGCAATGGTCAAATCTGCGAAAAGTCAGTTGAAGCGCGTTACTGGTGCATTTTTATTTAATTTCCAGGAAATACAGACGTTGCTAATACAAGTCGAAACGTGCTTGAATTCGCGCCTGTTAACCACCATGTCCAAAGATTCATATGACCTAACTCCTTTAACTCCCGGTCATTTCCTCGTTGGAACCCCTCTAAATGCTGTTCCAGAGAATAACGTCACCACGGTCTCAACGAACCGGCTCTCCAGGTGGCAACAATTCAGTCCCACTCAGCAGCAATTTTGGAAAGGGTGGACAGCAGAACATATGGGTCAACTTCATCATCGCCCAAAATGGACTAAGGCCAGCCACAAGGGCATAAGGTGGACGAATTGGTGGTCATTAAGGAGGACCACACACCCCAGCTTATATGGACCACTGGGACGCGTTACTACTGTTCATCCCGGTCTACATGGCCCCATTCGCGTAGTGACAGTGAGAACCGCGCATGATGTGATTAACCTGCAAGTGACTAAGCTGTGTGTGCTTCCGACATAAACAAATGTGCAGTGTCTAAATTTACCCCTTTTTTTCTATGTGTTCTGTACTCTATTTCATTGTCAATGTATGCACCTGTCATGTAGACACATATTATGTATTTCATATTTGCAATTGTTATACTTTGTCATGTTGAAAGTTAGTTCTTTCAAGGCGCCGGACCATGTTCGGGTTTCGGTTTTACCTACCAACCGCGGCCCTTGTCAGCAAGCGTCCCCAACTTTCTCTTTTGCCTGCAATGTATCGCTTCCGATTTTAACAACTTTGTACATAGACTCCGAACTGTCAACAACAAGTAAATACAGTGTTACACAGCACATGTTTGTGTATCATTTATATCAATCTTTTTCGGTACGTATGTATGAGTAACAATCATACATCCAACAACGTCCAGATTTTTGGAAAAAAAATCAAAATCATAAAACAACATTTTGCAATTTAATTTTGAATCTGCTAACCCAAATGTTTTAAAATGTTGCAGATGTTTTAAGGCTCTAAAGAGCATCATAAATCTTTAGTCAAAATATATTTGGTTATCCCCTCCAAAAACTTGATGATGTCAGCTCAAAAGTTTGCCGAATAAATCCTATCTAAAATGTACAAAATATGATGCGTCTGTACTTGTGGTATATCACTCCATTCATATTTTTTGGATCTGCATATACAGGGTGACTCAAAAAAATTAATGAATGCGCAAAATTTATTTTAGTGATTTACTGAGGAACTACAAAACCGAATGCTTTGAAATCTTGAAGATGTTTTAAAATTATCATAAACATGGTAAATTTTTGATCAAAATGTATTTGGTCGTCCCCTCCTAAAAAATTTATGACGTCACCACAAAATTTTGCTGAATAAATCCTATCTAAAATGTACAAAATATGGTGAGTTTCTTGTTGTGATTTATCATTCCATTCAAATTTTTTCGATTTGCATATATAGGATGACCGAAAAAAATTAATGAATGCCTCAATTTATTTTATTGATTTAATCAGGAATTACAGAACCGAATGCTTTGAAATCTTGGAGATGTTTTAAAGTTATCATAAGCATGGTAAATTTTTTATCAAAATGTATTTGGTCGTACCCCCTAAAAAATTTATGACGTCACCACAAAATTTTGCCGAATAAATCCTATCTAAAATTTACAAAATATGGTGAGTCTCTTCTTGTGATTTATCATTCCATTCAAATTTTTTCGATTTGCATATACAGAGTGACTCAAAAAATTAATGAATGCGTGAATTTATTTTATTGAGTTAATCAGGAACTACAAAACCGAATGCTTTGACACATAGGAGACGTATTAAATTTATCATAAGCACGTTAACTTTTTTATCAAAATGTATTTGCTAAACCCCCCTCAAAAAAATTGATGACGTCAGCTCGAAAGTTTGCCGAATAAATCCTATCTAAAGCGTAAAAATATGATGAGTACTTGTGATTTATCACTTCATTCATATTTTTTAGATTTTCTTAAGAGGTGGCTCAAAAAAATTAATGAAGTCAATTTATTTTATTGATTAAATTAAAGGCAACACTTATTATTAGTATCACATTGGACCAACCCAATTTGGTAGACACAAAATTTTTTAAAGTAAAAACTCGGTTGAAACATTAGGGTAGCACGCTTATTTACATCGACTTTAACATTACAGACGTGTGCGCTGTCTAGGTTCCGCGAATGTGGAATAGACATGTTTATAATCAACCAATTGTGAATTCCACCGTCAAAAATTAAAATAAAACTCAATGTTTTATATAATAAGCGGAAGTCGAAGCAATAAAACCGATGGTCGTTTTGTTTACAGTTTCTCTGTTTGACTCTCACGTATGCTGTTACGCTTGTCATCTTAAATTAAGAATGTTTATACATAAACGATTTTCAGTTGCCTCTCATATTACTAGACAGCGGATTTCTGTCGGGCTACGTCACGATTATAGGTGGGGACGCGCTGGATCGCCGGGACTCAATAGCGGGTGATAGATAATCACTGAATTTAATCGGTACTAATTCCATAAATATAATTAACGATTTATTAATCAAACGGCTAAGTAAATGAGAACGGGAATTAACAGCAGAGTGCAACGAAACAGCGTTGTTCTAATCTCAAATAAACGAAGTGCAGTCCGTAACCGCAATGAATTCGCATCCCGTACGAGCCATACCGAGTTTGGCCTTGCCTAGCACGACAGAAATTCGCTCTCTACATATTACACACCGGCGCCGTATACGTGAGTAAATTGTTTCGTTATTTTATTGATTATAAGAAATCAATATTCAAAACGACCCAATTCATTTTCCCGAAAATTTGGGAATACAATAATTTTATTCTTAGTATTACACTACATCTATCCCAACTGATATACGTGTCATTGCAAAAATGTTGATGACGTCATCGCAATTTTTTTTTAAATTCCCACTACAAAAATGTAATGAGAAAAAAATACAATAGGCATGCAGTCGTCAAGTTTCCGACAGCGAGGGAAGTACTGTCTAAACTCTTTAGACCAATTTTTTATTTTAGTTACTGCATCTCTAAGTTCATTAAAACTTATTTCTTTAAAAGTGAACTTTGTAGGGCAATGTTTATTTGTTTGTGTGTCAGCTAGGTCCGCTAGAATTTCCGGGTCATTCGCCATTTTTACTTTTAAGTCATGAACAACATTAACAAAGTGGCTATTAAAATCCTCCGCATTGAGTACCTCAGAACAATTATTATTTTTATTACTATTTCTGCTGGTATTACTTATTTTCCACGCGTCCCCAGGTAAGTTGGGCGAGCTTTTGAGTACGTGTTCTATATTTTTCTTTTTGAGGTAGTTTACTTTGTCATTAAGAAGTTTCTTGTACTCTTTGCATGCAATTTTAAAATATTCATTCCCCGGGAAATGTGATTTTAAACTATGAAATAATTCTACATACTCCTTTAACTGTAATACTTCTGTGTTTTTTTTTAGGAATGCGGTACTAGCAGACTTCTCCTTTTTGAAAGTCTTTAGTGGGAATGATTTTTTTGCTGCATTTGATAGTGAAGTTACAAATTGTTGCCATTTTTGTTCTAGACTGAGGCTGACATCCTCAACAAAGAACCAGTTAATTTCAGATACATAGTTATAGAACATATATAATCCGTGTTTTGTAAAAGGTCTGCACGATATTTTACTCCCACAACTTGGTTCGGACTTTGGACCGCTCACGTCGATACTGATGGCATCATGATCTGATAGTCTAGTCTCAATAATTTTAGTTCTGTATGGTGTATTTATATTAGTTATAATGTTGTCAATGCAGTTTAGCTTTCTCGTGTTTTCCTTAACTAGAACTCTCATTTAGTAACTGTGAATAAGATCTAGGAAAGTCATTACCTTATGATCTGGTGAATTAAACGTAATATTAAACTCGCCTATTATTATTGCGTCCTTATCGCCCAACTTTAAAAGAAGGTTGTTAAATAAGTATAAAAATTCTTCAAAATTACATTTTGGCGGTCGGTAAATGGTAATGATATAAACCCCCTTGCCGACTAATTATATTCCGGCTGCTTCCAAAACTCTTTCTTTACAAACCGATGTTAAATTTACAACCGAGTATCTTATGCTAGTATTTACCAATATCGCGCATCCTCCATATCCGTTGCTACGGCAAAAACTACCAGCGACCTTATATTTGAGTATTGTTAGAATCTCCATTTCCTCCATCTTCAGCCAGTGTTCGCTAAAACAGATAATGTCAAAAGGGTTGTCTAGAAAAAATAATTCTATTGCGTTAATTTTACATCTCAATGACTGAATGTTAATGTAGAAAATATTCAACCAATTGTCAGTTGTTAAACGTTCCTGGGACAATTTGCCACGTTTCCTCTCACTTGTTATAGAGGGCATTTGTGGTGCTGCGGTGGCTTCCTTGGGTGAAAAAATCTTGATATTAAACCTCCGCTTGGCCAATATTCCGGTTTGTTAATTTTTTCGAGGTTTTCAAAATTAATGGTTACTTTGAATCTGGCGTGGTTTTTTTCGTGTTTGTTTTCAAGTAGTTCACAGATCACTTCCGGGAAGTCGTTCATAAGATACGTCTTCAGGTCATCGGCTGTAGTAGTTTTGGCAAGTCGTCTAATATAGAGGTATATGCTTTTGCTGGTGATGATTTCAAAGCACCGGAATCACTATTTATCCCAATAACACACTTTTTGTTAGATGTGTCGTTTTTTGGTCTCGGCGTGCTCGATGTTTTGGTGACGCCGACGGTATCACCTACTTTGCTTTTGTTGGATCCGCTTATTTTCTTTTGGGTCTGATGATGTTTAGCGTCCTTTTTTGTGTTGTTTAAGGTCGATTTTGACAATTTCGAGTTTGTTTTGATTGTAGTGTCGCTTCTCGTTTTTATGTGTTCAATCGTGTCCACCATAGCTGCTGTCTCTCTTGATGGTTCGCCTTCAGCGCTGTTGGCGATATCGTTATCAGGTTTCTTACCGACCTTTTTGTCGGGGTTTTCAGGGTTTTTATAGTGTAGTAGGTCAATGTGACTCTTCATTAATTTGATAACACCTCTTAATTCGAGGATTAACTCATCTTTCTGTTTCAAAATGTAATGGAAAAGTTTATAATCTACTACTTTGTCATCTGCGTCCAGGAAAATGTCACTTTTGAATTCCATATCCTCGGAATCTTCGGAGGTTTCACGGCAAACAGCGGTGTTACATATCCAGTTCTTCTTCTTATGGAAACCTCGTAGATTCACATTAACGCAGCGGACGTGGAAGCTTTTGGTACACACAGAGCACATAATTAAGGCCTTAGTGTCGTCTTCGGCCGAATCTCAGACAGCACATATAACACGTGCGTTCTTGTCAGACATCACTACTACACTTGTAAGTAGTTTACCAAAGCATTCATAATTTTTACAAGAGCCTGTGAAAGTATAGATTCATAATGTTTTGCATGTTTGAGATAGGATTTATTTGTCAAAATTATGAAAGTACGTCATCAATTCTTTGAAAGGGGATAAGCAGATACATTTTGATTAACAACTTATCTTGGCTATGATAATTTTACAATCTTTGCAAGATTTCAGAAGCATTAGGAATTACAGCTTTAAAGTTATATTGTTAAAACTTTATTACACAATAGTGATTTTTTCCCAAAAATGTGAATGTCTTCAAATTGTTGGTGGGAATAAAAGAATAAAGTTTGGTTGCTAAAATATCATCTACACAACAATTTTTCTGGTAGTTTTGGAGATCACTTACCTAATAAAGTCGCTGATAGACAGCCAGAAACGAGCCAGAAACTTTTTCGTCTTGAACAAGTTATAAAACATCGAGAAAATAAAATTAGCCATCAGAATGAAAAACTTAGCAATATTTTGTGAATTTAGTATTAAGTGATTACCTTCAGTGCAAGTCCTAACAGAACAATTTGTGACAAGAGGTCGTTCTATATCTAAAAAAAAAAACATAAGTGTTATAACAAAATGCCTATTTCTTTTCCAAAAATACCTGGATCAATAGTTTTGTCTTCATTTCATTCACAAATTTCGTCCATGGTCATTTGGCTTTCTTGATCTAAGATTTTCTTTATCATTAAATCACCTACAACTATCTGCTGCCTGTAATACTCGTCGTGTATATTTCGTTGATGACCCATAAAATTAACGACGGTTTCTTTTTGATGATCCTGAAGGTTCATTGTTGAGGTCTTTGTTGCAAACTGTTTTCGTAGAAGGGTTGTTCTTATAGAAAATGGATTTTGTAATTTTGCCATAGCTGTATACTTTCTAATTATTCGACACGTTTCTAAAGTTCTGTATCGCTGTCCTACCATTTTCCCCGGCAAGCCAAAAATATAAGGGTTATCGTCCGATACTCCAGCCTGACTTCTATAGTCATTAATAAATGTTAAATATTTCTTTATATAATGGGGAATTATAACTGCCACCGTTCTGTGAAGTTTTCCTCTGATCATTAATTTGTATGTGCAATCAACTTCTTTATTCTATTGTCACCTAAATTGTTGAGCAGTTCTGGGAGTACTGCATCACGCAAAGTCTGTATATTTCAAAAATCCTCCACAAGTATTCTTTGGGCTTCACCAGCTCGTTTTCTATTATAAACACTGATATACATCAGTGTGAGTTCCGCTAAAGTCTTCCAGTGTGTAAAAGAAAATTCTTTAGTCATGAATCTTGTAAAAGTTTTTGCTGCATTTTTTAAAATGTAACTTTTAAAATTTTCAACATCTTTTGTCGTTGGAATGATACTTCTTTTCGTCATCATTTTTTTTCTTTTCATTTCATACAGATCTCTATGGGCTGGTTTCTTTATTTTACCAGGAACTTCTGTTTTCAGGAGTTTAAAAAATCTTTTAACAGCTTGTTCGTTTCCATCGTCTCCTCCTCGAATATAATGACTTTGCAAAATATTACAACAAATTTTTAGATAATGTGTTATGGTCAATGCAGATGTTGGTTTACTGTACACTGATGAATTATTATCAATTTCTCCCATCTGTTTTACTGCTTCAAGTGCCAAATCAAAATGTTGAGGGTAGAACAACTTACGAAATTCGTCAATGCTATTATCAATTTTTTTCACAGTTAAAAAATATGTTGCTAGAAACCTCAATTTGTTCCGTATCATATACTCCTGGTGTTCTCTATATTTGGGGACTAAATAATTGCCAATCAAAATTAACAGCATATCTTTTTTGACAGTATCCAATATTATATCCTGTTTCATTGGCGGCAAAATTTTCTCTTTTAGTTGCAAACATGCCGCCGGATGAATTTTACTAACCATGGCACGAGCAGCTCTTAAAACAGATCAACTAGCATTTTTATCTTTCAGATCTTTGCAGCAGTAGGCATAATGACGAGATAGTGTTATCTGTGAATAAAATCCTTTTGCAATTAGGGCATCTAAAGAGTCTCGTGAACCTTTTTGCACTCGTCTGATAAGAATGGGATTATCTTTATTGCTCTTGTTGTAATTATAATTGCCACTTTTTCGTAGATTTGCTATAATTTCGCAACGTTCAGGACTACCTGCAATTTAAACTTACTTAATTACACATTCCAACTAACTTGATAACTAACCTTTATTGAAACTTAAGAATTTTCTTACTTCTGCCTCTTCTGAGTGACAAATTTCAAAATGACGTGCTAAATTAGTTTTGAGAGTTTTGCAAAAAATGCAAAACTTCTGCTTGCACGAATAGCGTGAGTTTGTTCCATAATTTTTTGTTGCTAGACGTTCGGATACTGAAATAAAACAATAATGACAATAGTTATTTATGTTACAAGTGTTGAAAACGGTCCATTGCATTACGAACGGGAATACGGCGCGAGACGCAGTCGAGCGCTGTATGTAAGTGAGTAATGCAATGGAGTTTTCAGTCTAGTGTTGGGCGATTACGAATGATATAATCGAGATATCTCGATTATACCCGAATAATCGATCATTCGATTATCGTTTAGAAATCATTCGTTTATTCGTTTCGTTTTTCGTTTCGATTGCGCACGAGTACACGAACCGATTACGATTCGAGATTTCGAAATAATTCATTCGGATTCAGGCAATTAACCGTAGAAAATAATCGAAATCATTAGTAAATTTCATTTGTTAGGATGGTGGTAGTGTGTTACAAGTGTGACTGAATATAACTAACTACATAATAGTAAATATAATAATTTACAAACATATTGGGCCGTATGATTTCCCTTTTGTTAAGCCAATCGGTTTCTAAAATTTTGATTACAGTGAGTGAGAAAAGAATACGATAAAAGCATATATCAGAGAAAAAAAAAATAACGAACGTCTCTAAATATTAATTGAGAGAAAATAATACGGACCACTGACAATGAAACTATTTTCAATCAATAAATAAATCGTAATTGAATGTTCGATTCAGATTTCGTCAAGCCACGCATGCGCACTGGACATTGATCGAATTTTCGAGTGATTATTCGATTATTTTAAACGATTATTTCGATTCATTCAATTAGTGAAATATGTCGATTATGCCCAACACACGAAATTATGTTGGTATTGAATTTATTACCAAATACGTCAAATACCAATCTGTCAATTTGTCCGGGCTAGATTTTGAATTTCAAAGTAAGTTGAAATGGAAAATCGTGCACGTATTCAGAAAATTGCAGATAAAGCAACTGCAAATTTGTTGCCTGCAAAATCTGCAGGTCCATATGAAGCCGAATATCAAAAATTCATCAAGTGGTGCGAAGAAAATAAAATACGAGAATTTTCTGAAACGACGCTCGTGGTTTATTTCCAAATTAAGTCGGAAATTATGAAAGCCTCCACACTGTGGACAATATATTCAGTTCTGAAAAGTCCTCTTGGCATCAAACATAACATAAATCATTTGAAATTTTATAAATTAACAGCGTTTTTAAAGCGGCAGAATGACACAAGCCCAAGAAGTCTGGAATACTTACCAGTGGAAACATTTTTATTTGCGGCTCCAGATCAGAGAGAATCTTGTGATTATGATTCAGCGTGAGGTTGCGAATAACGTCAAGTTTAAACGGTTTTTTTAATTAACCAGAACCAGGGCTATGAAAGTCTCAGCTGACTCCATAAGAAATACATGGGGAGCTTACGGAACGACATAAAGAGGTCACTAGCGTCACTAAAGGTGCTCCGACCTTGAAGAACATAGTTTCTTTTTCATTTTCAGGTTTTCGGTGAACGTTTTGTCTGGTTTTGTCAACAAGAAATGTCATATTAATTACGGAATCATAGGGGATGTTGGGTTATGGGGTTAAAAACAAACGTAAAATTTATGTTAACAAAGTAATAGATACTTACGATACATGTAAAAAATACTAGAAAATTCCAGGCTAAAGAGGTCAACAAACTGCAGGTTAAACGAAATAGTTTAATTTTCGATGTGTGCGTGTTTGAGCTATCCAAGATTTATTTTTAAATTTTAGTGTGTAAAAAATTCTAACTAATAAAAACTGAAACGAGGTAGTCAAGAGGAAAGTCTTTGCAGGGGTGATGGAATGGTATTTTTGTGTGGTTCGTTTTTTAGCCGCAAACCAGTTAACGACTACGGTGCATAAATTGGGAAAAACTCACAAAATGTATTACCCATTACCGGAATATAAACTGCAAAATGTTTAGGTGGCATCATTAAATCGCCAAAAATCACATCTTCATTGAAGACTTTAAAATGTCACACAATTAAAACAGGATGTACCACTTCGTAAGAATGTGCAAAGTTCACAACAAACTTCGCAGAAGTGGTGGTGTAAGAATTTTCGTATTAATGAGTATCCACAAACATACCATAAACAGTTGTGTTCTTTCAAGGTGAGTTTCCGGTAACTCACATCACTTAATGATTGTTGACGAGGCTGGAATACAGGGGGGATGTGTTGTGGAAGTTTGTTTAAAAGAACACCTTAGCAAATTTTTTATTTCAAATAAAATAGTGTTTCACAGTTGGTTCTTGCACTCGTATCGAAATAATCTGTAGTAAATAGTTTCCGAAACACACTGTGATAACCCAAACTTCCCGCTTCAAAATTTGACCTTGAAACAGTTTGAAAGGCCCGCAAAAATTTAAAAATTCAAAGTTTGGCCTTGGCTGTGATCGTCTAACAAATGAGAACCTACGTTGTGTTTTTTTTTTTGCTTTTGAAAAATGGCGGGAAGAAGTTCTTTCATACAAGTGCATACACTGTCGAGAGCGCAAGAAATAATAGACAAAAATTGTTTTGGAGGGGGGGAAACGGCACCACCCTCACAGGGGGAAAGGCGCTGCGAAGATTTACCCCTCAGCGCAAAAACCCCCTTGGTTTTATTCCCGGACGACATTTTATTACATTTCAAACACCTTAAGATATGTGAAAGAAAAACACTCGCGAATTGACTGAAAGAAAAACACTCGCGAATTGACTGGAAGAAAAACACTCGCGAATTTACAGACATACACATATGGAAAACGAACAAACGAAAATTCTATACATCTGTTTGGAATCAATGCAAATATTGGAATATCACAAGTTTAATAAAACAAAGCAAAAACTGAATCAAGTAACTGGATGCAAGTACACAAGTTATTACAGGCGTGTGGCGGCCGATCTCCTTTCCTTTTTTTTTTTGTTACGGCAGTTAACAGGAGCACAAGAAAAGTACCCCTGGAGCGTTGTGACATAAGCGGAGTCTGAGCTACCGGTCTGGAACTGTTCTCCCCCCGCGACGGTGATTCTATCTATCGCAAAGCCTACCCCACACGCATATCCCATGACGAACTTTGCCCTGCGGAACTAGGCCATTACGGTCGTCCAACCCGCAAGAGATCTAGGCTATGTACAGGAGCCTAGAAATTTACAACATCGGCGGCCGCCCCTGAATCTATCCAAACCTGTGGACTTGTACAGGTGGCGCGATAAATCTCGCCAGCTCGACTAGGAACCAAACCTCGCTTCTGCCACGTTTTCTGTGTCATTTAACCTCAATTCCATTTTAAAGCATTCAATCTCTTATAACTCTGATGTTAACAACAACTGAACAAGTGTTAAAGTTTCAAAGAGCAATAAACAACATTTAAATGCGCCATACAATCTTGTGAAATCTTAAACAACAAATAATTCTTATGTGGGATTAAAGTTGGACATCAAATAATTTATATGATAGAAAACATTCATCAACAAAGTATTTACAAAACAAAACTTAGCAAGGATTCATGAGACGAAAGATCTGGTGTGAAATAAACTTGTACAAATAGAAATGTTATGTGAGGTTAGAACTGTAGAACATGAAATTTACGTTCAATTAAATTTATACAACAAATAAAATTACTGAGGTTAAAATTGTGAGATTAAAGAAATATTGTATGATGTGAAAATTTGCAGAGTTAACAAAATTTACATGAGATTAATTTTTGCCACACTTTATCAACGGTTCAAACAAAGAGTTTACATTATGCCAAATTATATCATGATCTAAATGATTGGTTACTTCAAAAATAATTTACTTTGAGAAGTTAAAATACTACGAACTGGTTACCCCAACAAAACACATAATAAACAAACACAAAAATATCCAATCATCGCTCCGAGGGAAAAAGCGTCTCGGTGATGTAAAAATCCAAAATCGTTGCGAGGAAAAAGCGTCTCGGTAACGTGAATTTTCTGTAGCGTTGGGGGCATGCCTTAATTAATTAATCAATTTGGCGTTGCGAAACATGCCCCGATGAATTAATCGTGATAACGATGATAACCACCTAAGGGGAGAAAATATCATAACCCCCCGCCAGTCCGCAGTATAATGAACTTGTTTAACTGCCGTAAATGAACTATTAGCAATCTTGTGTGAAGAATTTAGAAGTGTTATAATGTAACACTTACGTATATGCATCCAGAGACCTATTCGTAATTAAACATAAGGTGTTTTTCCTGACTAAGTGAATTTCATGAAATCTTCTAGCAAATGGTTAATTTAAATAATCCTGATTGTTAAATTGTGTTTGCTCTAGCTGAGTATTAAGAAAAACTAGCTTGATTGGTGAATTTACAAACAAAGAAACAGATTCACAACACGTGTTCGCGTCCGACCGGAAGTCTGCAATTTTCGATTAAAAGGGCGCAAGAATTTACCGCGCGGGTTGGGGACAACTGTATCATTATGAAAAATACGTTTGATCGTCGTTAAACAAAGGCTTCCTCCCGTTTTATTAACTACCAAACCAACTAATTTAAACCTAGTTCTTACCACGTGGTTACACTTACACGAAACACACCAGAATGACACATTCTACCGCCATGCCGCTTTTCTACCAACCCTCTAACTGAAATTACCCTAGCGCTACGTGCTGCCATCTAACCCAAAGATCATGCAACTAACTCCTAAGCGCTACGTGCAAGAGACCTTCCATGCATATTTGGTTGCCTATGTTTAAGGAGTTCCTTTTCGTGATTGCACCTTTTTTTTTTCAAATTCAAATTATTCAAATGCGATTTCGCGCCGCTGTTAATTAATTTCAGCGCGAAACTTTGATTTAAATTCGGTCACCACAACACTTTGGAATTGTACTGGTGTGGGATTTATACAATTCCAAATTGACGTCTCACAGAGCCAAACAAATATGTCAAACAATACTGATTTAGTTGCAGCAACCTTTTAGTGAAAATTGTAAACAAATTGTATTCTGCGAAAACTATTAAAAATAATAAGCAAAATGTTTATGTTCCTGAAGTTGTTTTTTATTTTTTTGTGAGTGATTTAAAAATATTAAGAGTGAAATAAAAATTTTGCAATTCACTTGTGGATAACAACTTATTTGTCAGACTTGTTAAGGATTTAATAAACGCAGTTTAAAACGTCAAAATTAAATAAAATC